CAGAGGAAAGAGAGAGCCCGTGCTGCGTAACGCGTACCCCACCAGCCTTAGGGCTCTGGGGAGGAACCCAGCCAGGCAGTGAATGAACATCCCTTCCCCGAGGGCCCATAGTGAATCTGCACATGCAGCAGAAGTGGGTTTCAAGGCTATCACTGAAGAGTTGATACCCACTGCAGCCTGGTACCTATGAACGAAGCTCCTATGATCACCAGATTCCTGCCAGTTGCCAGCTCTAAGATCTTGCTAGAGTCTTCTGGGGTTTGGAGAATGAACACGTTCTGCAGGTCTGCACCTGGGACTTTGAGGGAACTGGAGCTGAAAGAGAGAGAATCCAGATATGCCTCATGATTAGAAATTAAACAGAAAGAATGAGGGTGGGAGCACAAACCTGTGCAATCTCTTGGCTGTGTCATCCCATCCTGTCCTTTTATTTCATCTCCTAACACCTCCCTCCCACATGCCTCTAGAAGACCGCCAAGCCCTCTCGTCCTGTCTAAAATTTTGCGTGTGGGTAAACACTTTATGCACTCACTGGCTGCCTGTTGCAATGAGCAGCTGATTGTACTTCTGCGAGGACCCGTCCATGAAGCAGACCTTCTGCTTCTGGAAATCCACCGACACTGCCTGTAGGAGAAAGGAGGCAAAGATTAGACAGGTACCTCTGGTCCACTCGTGTCCTACCACATCAATCTGCTCTGCTTGCCTGTGACTGCGTGATCTATTTCTGGACATTCAGGTGAGATGAGAAATGCTGGGGTCACCTTTCTCATTTCCTACAGGTCTTAGGCTTTAGGAACACTAAGTATGATAGCAGCAAACCTGGGTTCCTCTAAGGGCTGTGCAGAAGGCTAGTTTCAAGGGCCGCCCTCTTTGCATGTGATGGGCACATCTGTCCATGGGTAGCACGGGTCAGTGTTACACCCAAGGCACGCACATTGTCCCTAGCACTTGGCCTTAGAGCGCTGTCCCACGAGATAACGCAGAGCCCTAATTCCTATAAATGTAGAGCTATGCCCGTAGGTGTGGGCATCCCCTCCCCATGGCAGGAACAGGACCACCCATTGAGGACTGAGCTCAGCTGCTCTTGTACCTCTTTCTCTGTCCAGAGCTCTATACCGTGAGCATCGAGGAATTCAGGTTTCCTCAGATAAAAGTCCTCAGCTTTCAAGTTCATTTCCTGGAAACAAAACAGAAGTGTGAAATAAAGCACTTCTTACAGACAGGTATACTTTTGTAGTGTTTACTGGGAAGTAAGTCTTCATAAGAGGCAAATTCTGCATTAATAAATCACAGCTCCCCGCACTGCCCCATCCCCATCACCTTTTTGTGCCCCTTCAGAAAAACCCATCAACTGAAACTCTAGTGGGAAGAACTCTGTGAAAGGGGATAAAACTATTAGCTTGTGGTGGACTCTGATCAAAGACTTTCTGGGAGGAAGTAGTGAGATGTTAGCTGGAAATTATACCCCTTTTCCTTGTGCGTGCCTCAGTACTCCTTACGCTTTGCCAGAATGGCTCACTCAATTGCTCAGTCTGGTCCTGAGTGTTGGCCATGTCGCTAATTCACATGTAGCACCCAGGCACAGTCCTGCCCTTCTCACATACAAACCTTGCTAAGTTTGGACTTGTCATATGGAACATGTTTCTCTTTGGTGGCCATGATGATCCTGCCAGTAAAGCCCTCTTGGCGAAGTGTTTCTGCACACAGCAGGGCAGCCACACCTACGAGAGATGCTCGTCTCAGCCCTCCTACACGTCACTATGGAGTAGGAGAGAGAAGGCAAGTCCTCCCTGGAGAAGAGAGTGGCAGCTCACAGCGTCTGTGGGCAGGGCACAGTACAGACCGCTTCACTGACCTCCCCCCAAAAGCAGCATCGTGCTCTGGTTGAGAGGGCATCGCTTGCTTGTGTCCTTTACCCTCCGGCTGTTTTCAAGATCCTAGAAGAAAGTAAGCAAGAAATGCTGAAATCATGCTTAGCCCAAGGTGCTGCTTGTGCTTAGTGACAGCAGGTAAGGTCAATACCTTCTTTTTTGCTGTAACAAACACCTTTCCGTCTTTCACTGTTACCTGCAGGAGTGAAAGGAGAGTGCATTTAAGTGCTGCATTCATGAGGTTGTGGTCAGAGCTTTCCTAAGAAGGTCTGGTCCAGTGGGCCAGCTGTCTCTGATACATCAAGAGTGTATCTTGGGTGCCAAATGATGCTGAGGAGCTCATGAGCTTTTCTCCCCATCCCAAGGACATTCAGGAAGAGGGGTAAATCCTTTTACTCTTTCCAAAAGATCTGTGCTGGCTGCGATATGCACCAGGATGCATGACATTACTTTTGACTGAAAGGAGCTTGAGGACAGGGAGTTATGTGACCCCAAGAAATCATCCCATGTGTAGCTCTGTGTGACCTGGACCACAGAGCCGTGGCCAGGGCAGGATCCTTTCAGTTGGTGTTGGGAACATGGAGCTTGTGGGAGCAAATGAATGCGAGCGGTATGGAGGACATTGCCCAAGCTGGGAGAAGGAAGAGACAAGAAGTCACCTTAAAGCAGGGAAGGCAGTCCAGAGAAGGGTATTCCTCGATGTCTCCAGTTTTGATGTTAAAGCAGGCGCCGTGCCAGGGGCAGCGCAGCCTCTCCCCTTTCAAGACTCCTGTAATAGAAAAGCCCCCCACAACTGAGCAGTGAGAGCTGACCTCCCTGACATGGCTGTTCCCCCTGCCCAGCACCAGGGTTACCTTTGCTGAGCGGGGCGCCATAGTGAGGGCATTTGCTGCCCAGGGCACTGAACTCCTTCCTGTTCCTCACCAGCAGCACCGGGTAGCCAGCCACCATCACCTCCCAGAGCCTGCAGGAGAGGTGGAGAGATGGGTGCCCCAGGGAGCCGAGGCTCAGTGCCTCCCAGCTGACATACTGCTCCCTCAACCAACAACATGGCGGCTGCCAACATGGCGGCCACCAATATGGCGGCTGTTGCCATGGCGACACCACCCCTGCTAGCTGCAAGGCCTCGTGGCGGTGGCCCAGGCCCCAACACGCCCCACACCAGGTACTCACTGTCCATCCCCAATGTCGTCCTCCTTGCAGACCTCAGCGGTGATGGTGTCATCACCGTCCATGCTGGTGGCTGCAGATGAGCAGAGGGAGGTGTTGTCCGCCACGGATGCTGGTTCTCCCTGTGCACCCTTGTGCCGTCACTGCAAAATCCCACCCCAAAATATAGGGCCATCACCACCCCAACTGGAAGCAGGTCAGTGCCATGTGCTCGAGGGGACCCAAGCTCCCGATACCACAGGAAAAAAAAAAACCACAACTGGTGCAAAACGCACATTTCCCCACTTTTTCAACTTTGTCTCCAAGCTCCAAGCCCACTCCTCTGCCCTTTTTTCCTCCGGATTAACCCACTTTTTTGTCTTCATCCCCATGTCCCATTAAACCCAACTGCAGCGCAAGGTGAGCCAGCAAACATGATTTATGACAGTCATGTTGCAAATAAATACAATTATTTATGGTGACATGCTGCTGCCGTACCCCGCAGCTCCCCCAAATCAGGGTCTGAAGAGCCACTTCAGCCTCTCTGAAACCTCGCCAACATTTGTGCAGAGATATTTGCACTAATTGCCATGAAAGCAGTAATTCCTGCCCAAAATGCCTCCTGGGTTAGAAAAGACCCCAAAACCTTGGTCTTTAGCAGTGTCCCTGCCTTAGCTGAGAGGCTGCTTAGAAACCTTCCTCTCCATTTTGGACAAAAAATGGCAAGAAATGGAGCAAATGAGGGTCTTTTGAGGCAGGTTTCAGTGCAGGGTGGTGACTTGCTCCTGCAAATCCCCACCACAATACTGCCCCGTTCCTGGGTCCCTTAGGAGAAGCATTGGTGGGTACTCACCTTGTCCTGTCGTGGGAGGCTCCGGCACCCGTCCCCCAGCTCAGAAAGCCACCGCCACCACCGTCTGTGATTTTCTCCTCTGCTGAGGTGACACCCTCGCCTCTTACAGCAAATGCTCTCCCTGCCACCAGCCCACGGCTGGGTGATGCTCTCCCCGCATTGCACAATGTCCCCATCCATCAGGAGACGCATCTCCTGGAAGCGGCCGCCTGCCAGCGCGTCTTATCTGATTTCTGCAACTGGTCTGTACCTAGTTAAGTGTATTTTCCTTGGGTTTAGAATTGCAAAACAATTAAGGGCACATAGGAATTATGGCTCAGGTGTGGTCTAAACACTGGGTACGTCATGTGCAATGTGAACAGAAACTTGAGTGGATGCAGTGACACCCCACTGCATCTTCCCATTGCCCCTTTTCTTGATGGAAAGCGCTGTAGCTCAGTGCAATGTGTTTTTGCAGCACTTTGGAACGATATCACTACTTTTTATATATTTCTATAACATCTAAAATTATATAATTTGATCTTTTTGTAAGATATCTCTCTCCATTGATTTTTAAGGAACACGAAGCATTCAGCACCTCTGCACGTGGCTTAGATCCCAGCTCTGCTTCTGATTCAGTCCGCCGATGTCCAGGCACATGGTCCAATCATCGTTTGGTCCCTGAAGGATAGCACAGAGCAGCATGCTCCTTGCTGTACTATTTTTGCAACAGAGTGGGAGTTGCATAAAAACGGGAGTAACGCCTACGCTGTTTGTGTCTACTCCAGTTCTTATCTCTATTTCACAGTCAGTATGTTTCACAACCTTAAAATATGCCTTAAAATTTAGCGGGGGGGAAGTTACTAGCAGTGTGCGTCCATCATCTCCCTTGCAGAACTGGAGCCTCACAGGGACTGGCTTTCTGGGGTGCAGCACGTTCCCAAATACGGGGAGGGGGGGGGATAAAAATCCTTCGGTGGGCATGATCCGGAGAAAAGGGCATGCACAGGGATGCTCGGTAAGTGCAAGCTGGCTTATTTGTGAAGCAGCTCACTTCGTCAGACCCGCCAAGCCGTGAGCACGCCTTTCGGTGCTGGGCTGCTGCTGTGTGAGGAGTGATCTTAGCCCACGGGCGACGCACACCCATGATGGGCGCAGGTGCGAGGTATTTTCTCACCGCGCCAAAGAGTAGCTTTCAGGCTCTGCCTTCCTGGCCAGGCGCCTGAATGTGAAGCAATTTGGCTGCTGAACGTCCCTGTATAAACTCTTTGTAATTATTCCCCAGAAGCGCGTTCCCACGTGGAGAAGCAGCAGCCCTCGCGGAGGCATTCTCTGACTCAGCAGAAATCGCCGAAAAACGTTGTTTGCTTATGGATGAAAGCTTCAGCGTGCCGGCAAAGTGGCAGGTACAAAGGCGTGCAGCTGTGGGAGGCTTTGGGACAAGCCAGGTGGAGCCCGGTCCTGTGCGGTGGCGTTTGCACTGTGGGTCTGAGCAGCTAATTCGGCTGCTGGATGGCAATGAATGCTGCTGGATGCGGCCAAGCACCAGGGGAAAGGATTATGTAAAATGCAAAAGGAGAAAGGTGAAGCGAAATCCCCCCCTCTGATGGGGGCAAAGATGACAGCAAAGGATTGACATTTGCAAAGGGCATCAGATGTGAAAGGGAAGGTTTGGGTTAGCTGCAGGGATGCTGCATGACTGCGTCTCTGAGACGCACCTAGAAACACGCAATATGCCCTCGAGGGATTCAGGCAATTGGATGGTATTGGAGGCAGATTTTCGGGAAGATGCTCTGTAAGCAGCTTTTGGCCTTCTGTTAGGTAACCCAGAGCTAGGTACTCAGAGTGGTTGAGACCTTTGCTTGTAACACACAGCAGGATTAAACGTAGGAAGGAAGAGTGAAAGCAAGCAGTGCCCTCAAACGCGAACAGAGCCCAGGTAGGCATCAGAAATCTCTGACCAGACCTGCCACCCACATTGGTGCTGACTCACACGAGCTACTGAGCTGCCCTTGTATTTTATTAGATATCTTCACTTTTACTGTGTCCCTCCAGTGTTGTCAGCACTCCGGAAAATTCAAGTTTAGAGGTGAAGATTTAATGGGGGTAGCTCTCCTCCCTTCAAGTCCCTGCTACCGTCAGCTGGTGTAGCATGTGTTTTCATGCCGTAGTGCAGCTGTGGCTGCGTGGATACATCCTTGTCCCACCTTTGCTTGCCCCCAGCTTGCTCAGGTCAGGATCCTCCCCTGCCCTAGCAAACCTGCCGAATTTTAACCAAGCGTTAGCCACAGAGTCGAATGTTATTGAAGGCTGTTCAGGCACAGGAAGAGGAAGCGAGGTGAAAAACTGCAGCAGAGCTAAAATGATTAATGGGACACCGCTCTCAGAACAGCTTGGTTTGTGATATTAATAACGAGAGAATTCAGGAGGGAACCTAACCTGTTCCAAGCTGCGGAGCCAGCAGCAGCAGGAGAGGCAGTTAGGAAGCTCCTGTGCTTGTATTTGTGACGCAGGAGGAATCGAGTGGGGTCAGCAACGTGCGATGCTGGACGGAGTGGGTGTAGGGGCTGAGACATGCTTCCACCTTGCAGGGCTCATTCTGAACCTTCTGAGTTGCAAAAAAAAAAGTGTGCAGTCATAAATACATCATGATGCAGTCAGAAAGCACATAGATATGCATCCAAAATTACTTAAGCTTGAGAACTGTGAACTAAACAGGGAAAAAACTGTTTATCCCGCAAGGGAAGAAGACATGGAAAAAGAAATATTTAGTAGGCATGAATTTGTTTACAAGGTAAGAATTTGTTTACAAGGTGCTGTTTCACATTTTCTTCCTAAGCATTCGTGTCTGGCAATGGTGAGAGATGGGATACAGGCTGGGCAGACACCTGGCCCTGCGTTTCACTGTTCACCACAAGGAAAGAAGGAACCTGAAACCTTGCTGATAGCAGCAGATAAACAAGTGGATAAATAAGTGGACAAATTTGGGCCATGTCAGCTACTGAAAGCGCTGGAGAAATATAAGGAATGGCCTGTGGTGCTGTGCTTGAAGGGTTTTTGCCAGTCAATGAATCTACCAATGGATGGGGTTTTTATCCCACAGCATACCTGTTCCACCGGAGCAAGAAGGAGAGAGCGCATCCTTTGCACAACCAGATCATGGCAGCTGGTCCAGCCCAAGCCCTAGAGAGATAGCTGAGCCCGCAGCATCCTTAGCGATGCTGTACTGTTGCCACAGGTTTCTCCTACAGATCCCTTGTGACAAATCCTGAGGAAAAAAAAAAAAAAAAAAAAAAAGACTTCCAGTACTAAGAAAAAGGAAGAAGGCCAAAAGCAAGAGCATCCAGAGCAACCTGCCATGGGGTTGTTTATCACGCGGGCGAAGCAGGCTCTGCCTGGGTGGCTCTGACTCTCTGGTACGGGGGGCATTCCCGCATGCCAGGCTGCAGAAGGCAGCGCGCTGTGCCTGGCCAGGCAGCAGCTGGCAGCTGGTACCAGAGCATGCCAGTGCTGTGAAGCTCCCAGGAGACATCGTATTATTCAAGGAATGATCTCAGGAAGGATGACCCACCTGGGCGGCAGAACACCCGCAGGGCTGGTCACAACTGGGAGGGGAAGGGAAGAGTCTTCCCCTTGGGCGGTCGAGCTCGCAGGCTTGAGCAGGGTGAATGGACGGGCTGCAGTGCAAGTGGTGATTTCCTCTGCCGGAGAAGATCAAGTCCTGAGGTCAGTGGTTAAGTGATGCACACTTTGGCGTTTCTTGCATTAAATCCAGGAGCTGCGTGTGTGAAATGGAGCTAAGGGCAGGGGAAAAGAGTGGTAAAAACTCTCTGTGCTGTCAGTGCTAGCAGAAACCCTTCTCCTGCTCACTGCGCTGGCAGAGACTGATGTGCCTGTCTCCTGTGGCTACAGCAAGTATATCCCCAGTTCCACCTGGAGAATATCCAGCTTCAACATCAGGAAAGCATTTCTGGCTGGAAGGAGTGGACACTCGGGTTTGCATTGATTTCAGCTCTCTTCACAGCTACCTCTGCAACGTCTGGGCGTGCTTTGCCATAGCCGATGAGCATTTTGCACAGTAGAACCTTTCATACGTGTGGAGTTACAGACTTTCTGCATGAAAATGTGGATATATAGAGCAAAGTATTCCTATATCATCTGACTTCTATGGCCTAGCAGATAGAGCAGTGATACACTTTAGAGAGGGATGAAGACAATGGCTAATTAAAGTTTGGAAGCCGAGCTGCTTGATTTGTTTCGAGATCTTGGACTCCTCAAATTATTTTAGGTGTGAGCCAGGTCTGGTGTTAGATGAACAGATGGGCTTTATGCCTCCCTGGCAGATTAAGGGAGTGAGGCTTTCCAAAAACAGGAGGATGACTTTTGCCAGAAGGACTTTGCCGTGTCAGAAGCTCCCACATCTGTTGGCTACAGCGAGCCCTGGGAGAGGTTTGGGAGCAGAGTGGGCTCCTCCTTGTGTAAGGGATGGGAGAGCTGGGAAAGCACACCCAAACCCCCGTCCAGGAGTAGTGGGGAGCATCTGGGGGAGGACGCAGTTTATCTGACAGAATTCATATGGGGGATTATCAAGGAACTGCCAGCTCCTTATTGTGGAAAATGGGTTATCTCTCCCAGATGTGCTGCAGAGGAACTCCAACCTGTGAGAGGGAGAAAAAAGCCACTGTCCAGCTATTGAAAAACCCGCTGTACCCTCTCTTTACACCCCAGCTGCTGCTGTAAAGCCCGAATATGGGATTAACTGTGGTCCCCACACTGTTATGGGATGGACCTAGGCACGTCCTCGCTGACAGCTGGAAGGAGTCCCCTGCCCTGCTGGGACCAGGCACCGGCAGCGACCCGTCACCAAACTGAGCTGCCTCCCTGCAGAAAATGAGGCTGTTTGGGGACTGTTGGAAAACTTCTGGAAATTTGGGTGAAAAAGGCAATATCTCCAAATAAGGTGTGAATGAAGAGTCCCATCAGATCGGGCTGCTCTGCCCAGCTCTCCAGCGAGCGTGCAGGGACCTCTTGTGGCAGCTGTGACAGAGAGCTCCTGTCCCTGCTCTTCTGTAAGGCTTCTCTTGGGACAAGCCTGGCCTCCGAGCCTGAGGGACGTGGCTGAATATTTGGCCTGATCCGGTGTCAAGGGATCTGTTTGTAACAGGGCTTGGAAGCCTCCAGCTCCAAAACTGTCCTCAATTAATGCCATCACTGCAGAGGAAAGGAAGACAAGGAGAAAAGGCTGGAAAGAGGGCTTGTGAGAAACCACTGCCCGATGGCAAGCCCTGGTAAAACTACGTATAATCTGTGCTAAAATTATCTGAAAAGTAGTATATATGTCACTGTTGCTAGTGCTCTAGCAGTGGGATCAAAACCCCTGAACCAGAAGCTCAATTAATCGTGGCTCAAATTCCTCCCATGCGGAAGTGGTAGGTAAAAGCTCTCCAGCGTCCAGAAACATTTTAACTATTCCTGTCCTCCCCCCAAGCCTAGCCAAATATTCATCTTTAGAAGAATAACACAAGGAATGGAGGAGCCCCTGGGACAAACGGGGCCGGGCTAGCAGGCGTTTCATGCGCTGGGACTTTACCTGCAGCAGGGGAAGGGCAGGGTTGTCACCACGGAAAGGGGCGGTCAAGATTTCGGAGGCAAAAACACTGCAGATGACTCCTCATTAGGAATCAGCTGTCTGCAAGTTTATGCTGCAATTAATTGTTACCTGATTTTTCTCCTCGGTGCCCTGAGCAGCCCAGCACGTCTCCGAGGCACAGCTCCCTTTCCTAGGCGTATCTTACGCTAAACAGAAATGTCTTTGCATTTGGCCTTCTCAGTAACAGATTAGCCTACATGATCCTTCAAGTCCTAATACACGAGATTATTTATAATTCCTCGAGCAGTCAGGTCTGCCGATTACTTCAGGCAGCGTCTCCCTGCCACTTAACCGCTACGAAATTACATTGTCTTGTCCGGCTCTTAGGTAAATTTCCGCAGCACGAGCGGATGCTTTTCTGTCGGTTGGGACTACCTCACCCCTCTCCTTCGGATCTGATTTAATCACTCCCCTCTTCACTGCCCCTTCCACCAGCATATCACTTGTTGATGTTCTAATGTCCATCGCTACAGCCAGAGCAGCGACTCAGGCTCAGGCACCACATGTTTTAGCAAAGGGAAAGTAGAAATTTTCATCCAAAATTAATACCTCAAAGGAGAGGCAGAGTTTGACATTAATCAGTGTGTACACGGTGACTCATCCCGTCTGCAGAAGAGACGCAAGGTCTGTGCAGCAGCCACGCTTCTGGTGGAGACATCAAAAAGCACCAAGGGAGCGATCAAATTACGGGAAGCTGGAAAAGCAGCGTAGTTGTAGGATGGAACTAAAGAAGTTGTGGGTACGGGATCCCAGATTACCACAAACCCCGGACAGCAGAGCTGGGGTGTCCCAGCCATCGGGGAGTTCCTCTTGGGACCGGACAGGGGGAGGGAGTGCTGTAGGCAGAGTGGGTTTTTTTGGCAGGGCGATTGGACCTTGTTGCTTGCTTGATGTGCAATCGGATCTGGCAGGGTGTGTGTCCGTGCGAGGGATGGCTCTCCAGCACAGTGATGCAGTTGATGGCATCAATGACAGCATCACATGCTGGGGATACTTTGGGGCGAAGGACCACCACCCAGAGCAGCTCACGGGTGAGGTGTTGAGCCACCCGCTGCCACCGAGGTGGAGGAGGAACCTCAGGGAGGGTGAGGAAGGAGTCCGCAGCCCCAGCAGTGATGGGACACCCAGGCCCCCACTCCGTGGCACGCTTGCAGCCACCTTTTTGGCCAGCCATTGCTTCTGCCATGCCATGCCGTGCCCGGGGAAGGCTGACGCACACCCCTGGGTGCCCATTTCCCATTCCCTCCCCCTCTACCCCGAGTCACACGCTGCGTGGGGAAGCGCTGCCCCTGCGTGTCTGCACCTCTGCGTGGAGGGGGGATGCGGGAACCGCCGGCACTGGGGCGGCCCCCGCAGCCCACCCGACCCTTCCCCGCGGGGCCGATTCGCGGCGGGGACGATGTTCCTTCCCCCTCCCCTCCGGGGCTGAGCATCCCGACCGGAGCAGGGAGGTGCCGGCAGGGCGGGCGCGGGGC